GTTGCGTGACAAGGAGGTCAAGGCCACAAGTGTCACCTCTTCCACTTCCGGATTGGACCATGAGCAATACACACATACACACAAAGAATGCTCTGCCCCAGCGAGTCCCAGGAAGAATACATGGAGGTGGCACTGAGGCTTCTGTCCGTGGTGCTGAACTCACCTCAACCCCATCTCCTCTAGCCCTAGGGAACCAGGTGAACGTATAGATTCCCTGGCCCCTTCTTTGGAGACTGGGATTCTGAGGACCTAAGATGGGGCCTTGGAATCCCATTGTACCAAGTACCCATGATTCTAATACAGCCATCCTGGTACTGGCTAACATTGACTCAGTCACTGAAATGGTCATTGGTCTTCATGAAGTGCCTGCTATGTGCCCAGCACTGCACTAGATACTCTGAGGCACAGAAATGCATCTAGCAGAGTCTCTGCTCCGGCAGAAACTTACAAAGTTGTTCCAGAGGAGATGAGAGAGGCAAGAAGGGAAAGCACTCTCTCTGTTTTATGAGGACACTGTGCTAGGTACATACTTCACCTTTATCCTGCAAGATGTGATTAGTAGTCACCTGGAAACAGTAGTCCCCATAACCATAGCCAACATTTGTGTCCTTCCTTGGGGCCTCCCTAGCCCTCTCTGCAAGGCGGTATGTGACGCATTCTCCTCCTTCTGATCTCCTCGTGGCTCAAGACCCAGATCCACCATCACCTCACACATCAAGTCTTCCTGATGCCTGTTGCCCTGTAGGCCCTCCAGATTTGAGTCTTTCCTCCTTGTGCCCCATGGTCTTGTTTCATCATCGCGACATGATGAACCATGGCTTCAATATGTCCCAACTAGGATCTGAGCTCCCTCTTGAGGGTCAGGCTTGAACCGGATTCCCCGGTGTAACCTCTAACACAGGGATGCTTCCCCCTACTCACCCAGAGGAGGTGAGCAGTAAATTCTTATTGGATGGATGGCTAGGAGGAGGGGTGAGTGGGTGGGGGGATGTGCCCAATGACTGCGCCCAAAGAGAATGCCACTGGGTTACAAAACAGCTGGAACAAGTGCTCAGAACCAAAAGAAATCAGGGTACGCCTTGGGGAAACCAGGCAATGGGCCAAATGCCATTCAGGCAGGGCCAGCTTCCGGTCAAGGTCTGCCTCTCCTTTCTCTGGGTGTTTGGGGAGAACAGGAAGAGGAACCAGGACGGCTGTGTCTGATGAGAACAGATGTTATCTGGCCCTGAATGTGGGACATGGGGGGAGAGGAAAGGGAAGGGGGAGACCGAGAGCCAACAAATGGAACATCCACAGACCCTCTTTATTTCACTTTTTATTACAGAAAGTTTCAACACACCCCAAAGTAAAGGGAACAGCATAATGAACCCCCATGAGCCTGTCACCCAGCTTCAAAGCTACCCCTATTTTGCCACTCTTATTTCATTCTTCCCCTCAAGCTCTTTTTTAAAGAAAATTCCAGACATTATACATTTCACCCATAAATATTTCAGAATGTATATATTAGAACATTTCTTATTTAAAAAAAAAATAAAATAAAAAAGAACCTCGGGGCACCTGGCTGGCTCAGTTGGAAGAGTATGTAACTCTTGATCTTGGGGTCATGACTTCAAGCCCCATGTTGGGTGTATAAGATTACTTAAATAAATAAATAAACTTAAAAAAAAGAACCTCAATATCATTATCATACCTAATAAAATGAACAATTTCTTAATACCATCTAGTACAAAGTCTATGTTCAAGTTTCCTCATTTGTCTCAGAAACACCTTTTTAGGGGCACCCAGGTGGCTCAGTTGGTTACGCGTCCAACTTCGGTTCAAGTCATGATCTCACATTTTGAGGGTTCGAGCCCCACATCAGGCTCTGTGCTGTGGTGACAGCTCAGAGCCTGGAGCCTGCTTGAGATTCTGTGTCTCCCTCTCTCTCTGGCTCTCCTTGCTCTCTGTCTCTCTCTCTCAAAAATAAACATTAAAATTGTTTTAAAAAACACCTTTTTAGTGCCCATTTATTTGAACCATGATCTAAACAAGGTCTGTGCACTGCATTTGGTTCCAATACCTTTTCAATCTCTTATCATCTCTAATGGTCCCTCCTTCCTACCTTTTTGATACCATCTTACTTGAAAGAAACTAAGTCCATCGTGTGGACTTATCCCCTTTGTTGACGTGGTGGCCTGAACTCTCATGGTGTCATTTAACATGTTCCACTGACCCCCATTTCCTCCAAACTGGCATGTAGATCCAGAAGATTGGCTGGCGTAGGGTCAATTATTTAGGCAAGCAGGCCTCCTGGGTGGTGTCATTTCCTTCCTATGGCATCACGTCAGGAACACTTAAGGACAGACTTTCCCTTTTGAGGTGACAGTAAACATGATGAGCATCTCCAGGCTGATCACCCACCTGGGTGAAACCACCTGGGCATCCACCAGGGCAAACAAGGAGGCCACTGTACCCACCACCAGTGGGTGAGGAGGCCGCTGCGGTAACACAGGCGACATTGACAATGGCCCGGACCCAGATGGTGGAGTGGAGGTGATGGCCGGTCCAGCACCCCTGCCGCCCCCCCTTTACAGCCGAGAATGCGGAACTCAGAGAGGGCGGGGAGCTGTTGTTTCTTGAGCAGGCAGTACCTGCACCAGGAGCTTTCTCTGCAGCGTCTCAAAACCGCACAGCACACAGTGTAAAAGTCACTGCGTCTATCCCACTGGTGGGGCCGGCGAATAGTAAAGTCACCTGCCCAAGGCACAGAGCCACAGGTGGAAAGGAGAGAACTCTCCAGAGGTGTCCCGGGTTGCTTCAAACCTTGCTTCTGGCGCCTCTAATCTACAAAATGGGAACGATACTTGCCCAAGACCAATACCGGGTGGTCCAACCTTGTCCCTTCCCCCTGACAATCCTGCCCGTGGGGCCTACGTGGGCCACCTTAGTCCACAGTGCAAGCAGCTTTATACTCTCCCATACAGACACACAAAGGGTTAAATCCAGACACCGTCCCCCCTTCCTCCATCCCAATTCTGATCCTTGCTGACTCTGCTCCCCCTCCCTAGCACAGCTATTCTGGGACAATGGAGGCAGCAGATGGCCCGAGTCCTGTTCCCTCCACCCGACCCCCAGGATCTGGGAACAACCCGCAAATCTGCTGCGGCTTCTAAAAAGCAGGCCGGCCGGCAGCCTTCCACACGCAGGTCGGAGAGGACAGCAGCTGTGGGACACACACCCCCCCATCCCCCACCAGGGCTGCAGGGCCGCGGCCACCCCCACTCAGTTCATGCCCCACAAACCCAGCATCAGGTTAGCCCAGAGAGAAAGGAGGCCTTGGAAGAGCCCAAGCAGCCCGACTCTGCACTTGACCTGCTGTGTGACCACAAGCACATGGCGGTCCTTCTGTGGGCCTCAAGCTCCTCCTTGGAAGCCAGGGCTGAGGCACGGAACTGGTGTACAGTGGTTCCAAAGGTCCCAGACAGAGCTGCATCAAAGACAAGGTCCTTCAAGGGCTGGAGGGTCTGCTCCAAGGAGCCCCCAGGCCTGGCTGCCTGGCTCAGGGCCCCTCCGTGCCTCAGAATCTCTCCTGTCTTCCCTCCTGCCCCCAGCCCAGAGCCCCACAGTGGCCCCAACTTCCAACATCACGGACAATGATGTGTGGGGAGAAGAGCCCTCTCATCCCTAGGCTTCCCCACCAGCATTCCTGAAATTTTACCACCATCACCTTCATTCATTCACGCAAGCTCTCCGGGACCTGCAATCCTAAGGGTGTTTGCATTGACTCGACTCCTGCCTTGGCTGTCAAACTGTCCCTTTATCGGACACCAGAGGCCGACCCCCTCAGATGAGGCTCTTCTCGGCCTCTCCCAATTCTCTCTGGCTGCCCCCAGCTCAGGCTCTGAGGGCAGAGAAAAGGAGAAGGCCCTCCTGTCACACCGGCACCTCATAGCATACACACAGTCACACATACGTACGTTGTCACACACATGTGATGTGGGCACACACACATATATACACCACACATGTCTTACGCACAGATCTGTGTAGAGAGGGGCATGCCACACACACACACCCTCGCACACCCTGGCTCACCGTGACCCAAGCCCACGCTAGTAACGGCCACTGTCCGCTGTTCACCGAGCCCTTCCTTCTCGGTGCCAGGCTCTGTGCATCTCACCCGGATACCAATCCATGAAGAGGGTATTCCCTTTCTTATCTGTAAAGTGGGCACACAGCCCAGAGAGACAAAGCGGATTCCTCAAGGTCACACAGCCAGTAAGGGCAGAGCAGAGACATCTAGCTCAGGACCAGATGAACACCACCATCCCCGCTGGGACAGACAGAAATAAGACCCTGCCCCAGCCAGGAACGTGGCAGCCACACGTAGCAAGACACTGGACCAAGGGAGGTTTAAACAAATCAGGGTTTAATTTTCTCACGGAACCAGATGCCAAAAGGGACAAGTGTGCGTGATTGTCACAGCCCTCCCTTCACGACAACAAGGCAGCCGCCCCAGACCCAGACATCACACCCACATTCGCAGTGTGAATATGGGGTATTGGGCTCCAGAGACTTCCCCAGAAGCCTCTGCATCGGCTTTGTTTAGTTCACACTTGACAGACTGAGCAAGGGAGGCTGGGAGAGGGAGCAGAATGATCATCACGACTGGCTGGGGTCCATCACGACCCGTGCTCTGAGTCCGGGCACGATGATACTCCAAACAACACGGAATCTGGTCGCAAGGGGTGGGGAGCAAGGAGCTGGAGACCGGCCAGCAACACCAGTATGTGCACAGACCCCGGGTTCTGCGTTATTCCACCTGCGTCCCCTCGCTGGCTGGTGGTCCAGCCGAGGGGGCCAGGAGTAGACGGCCCAGTGCTCGGCCCCAGGGGGAATGACACAGACCAGAGCTGGGGGTAGAAGGCCAGGCCCCACCAGGGGCCCACGTAATTCTCTAGAGGGTTAGGATCCCTGAGCCCCAGCCCAGCTCAAGCCCTCCCCTCCCCCCCCCCCCCCCCCCCCCCCCCCCCCCCCCGCCATGCTTATTCAATTCAGCCACTCAAGGCCCATAGAAGCCCAGCCCCTGGGGCCTGTCTCCCCGCACCCAGTGCACCTGTTCTCTGGGCCATCCAGTCCACTTCCCCGGGGCCTTGCATGCCTTCACTGCCAGCCACCATCCAACCCTGGGCTGGCCCACTGCTCAGAGGCCGTGCCAGGGACTGTCCACCAAAGGGCACCCGCCACGGGTCCCCAGGGCTGCCTGGGAGGCCAAAGGATAACCAGAGGCCTCGGCCTAATCTTTGCCCAGCAGGTCAGGGTTCACCTGGCCACCAGCTGCGGGCACCAAGGAGTATCCGGATAGAGGAGACAATGGAGGGAACGAAACCTGCGGAGAGACCGGAAACGGACAAGATGGTCACCATGATCCCCATGCTCAGGCCACGGGCTCCTGGGGGCGCACACGTCACAGAATTTCTCCACCACGGCACTATTAACATTTAGGGCCAGATAATTCTTTGTTGTGGGTGGTCTGGGCATCATGGGATGTTTTGCAGCACCCCCAGCCTCTACCCGCTAGATGTCAGTCAAAAACGTCTCCTTGGAGGGGCGCCTGGGGGGGCTCAGTCGGTTAAGCATCCGACTTCAGCTCAGGTCATAACCTCACAGTTAGTGAGTTCGAGCCTCGCGTCGGGCTCTGTGCTGACAGCTCAGAGCCTGGAGCCTGCTTCGAATTCTGTGTCTCCCTCTCTCTCTGCCCCTCCCCTGCTCATGCTCTGTCACTCTCTCCTTCAAAAATAAACATTAAAAAAAATTTTGTGATGTCTCTAGACATAGCCAGTGTCCCTGGGGCAGGGCGGGGGTAGGGGAGGGGAATGGTCCTACTGAAAACCAATGGTTTAGAGAGACTTCAAAGGCCAGGGATGCCATGAAGAGACCCCAGCTGAGGCTAGACTATCCACTCACATGTATCTGAGTCCCCAGTCAGCTCTAGCTCTTTCAGGCAGGAGCCTTTGGATTCTAGAATCTTCAGGCTTAGAGGGAACTGAGCATCCACTCTTAAAGCTCTTGGTAGTACAGCCACAGCTCATACACCACCCCTGGGGAGCCCACCCCGTTAGAATGCAGTTCCTTTCATCTCAGAAATTTGAATGTTTTCCCTGCGTTGAGCCAAACTCTTCTGCCTCTTTGTAATGGCCAACTTGTTCAATACAGCCCTGCCCTCAGGGCCTTTGAACAGTTGTGAGCCCTCTGCTCCATGCACACCACTCTGCAGAACTTCAGAACCAGGTTCCCCCAAGGCTCTCCATACTTCAGGTCAATCCGAAGTCCAGAGCGAGCCTACAAGGCCTTGGGGAGGCCCCTGCCTCATCTCCCACCAACTACCGCAACAGCGTCCCTGGGCAGGCCCGCCCGCCCAGCACATCAAGTCACGGGCTGTGGTCTCACAGGCCTGATCGTTCTGCGGCCTGTTTGAGGGCAGAACCGGAAGGTGCCTCGGTGGCATTTGAGCCCTCTTTCCAACCATCTACCCTCTGAAAAGAACCACTGAAGACTGTCAAAGAAACAACGAGCCTACAAAAGCTGAAGTACAAATTTTTCATCGGGGCCTGAAATTTTTCCATTAGAGCATCTCCTTTGCTCAGTGAAGGTGTGTCAGTCTTCTAGGGCCTCGTGAAGAATCCCAGCGGGTCAGGACTGGGGGAGCCCTCCAGATCCACCACACGCAGCCTCCTTGTCAAACGGGGAGACTATGGCCCAGAGAAAGCAAGGTATTTGCCCAAGGTCACACAGCAACCCTGGGGCAGAACAGGGACTGAACTCCATTCCCTCCACTCCCGGCTCTCTGCTCTCAGCCACCAGGGCCTTCCTTCCCTTTCAGGGTCTCCCATCTCTGGATGCCTGGATTCAGCCCCCATTCCTCCAATCCTATGCTTTGAGCCCCCAGACTCACCTGGAAGGGTCCTCCTCAGGGGAGAAGGGGCCTTCGAGCTTAATGACATTGAGCTTCCCCTCAAAGACGCCATAGCTGAGGGTGACCTGGGCAGAGAAAAGCAAGCAGAGAAGGTGCAGGTTGGTGGGCTGTCCCACTGGGGGCCCCACAAGGGGGCAGTGTTTGAGCAGAAGCAGGGAAGGTAGGTAAGACACTGCGGGGCGCACTGCGCCTGCGTTGCCTGAAATCCCACCCTTAGCCCTGAGAGTGTGGCTGGGGGCCCACCCCACTCCACAAGGCACCTCAAGCTGGTAGGCCATGGCCATGCCCAGGCTCCATATGCATCCCCAACGGTCCACCTTTCCCCAGAGGCTGGAATGAGTCCCTTGCCTACAGACCAGGAAACTGAGTCTCAAAGGGGGTAGTAAATTCCAGGAAATTCCATGTTTGGACAGAGCTTGCCTGAGACTGTGGGGTCATGGCCCTCCCTCTCCTCCAGGAGCCTCAGGTCACTTCACTTGCAATGGGAACATGAGATCACGTCCCTTGTCAAGAGATAGCGGAGGCTTAGGGGCCATCCGGGCAGGGTTCAAATCTCCTTCTTGCTCTGTGCCTTGGCTACTTCAGCTCTCTGGCCTCAGTTTCCCTGCCTACAGAATGGGAATGTTAACACTGACCTCATGTGAACGTTGTAAGGAACCAGAGAGTTAAAGCAGATAAAGCCACCAGCCTGGTGCCTGGCACAGCGGGCATCCTGGGAAGTCCCAACCATTAGGGTACCTGGCTCGAGCTGCCCCAAATCTGTCCCCACTTCCTGGCTTCAGGCCCTGCGGTCCTATGGGGACCCGACCCTGTGCCCCGGTGCCGGGACTGCAGAATCAACACTAACTCTTGGCTCTGGTGGGAGACAAGTGTGACCCAAGCAGGCCTTCCGGCCGATGCGCGCCTGCCCCGGGACTGGGCAGGAGGAGGAGCTCTCCTCTGGTGGGCGTGGTGGGAACCTGGGGCTGCCGTCTTCCCAGCTTGAGGGGCGAGCCTGCCCGAGGGTGAGCCCAGCGTCGGGGGAGACAGATGACAGTGGGCACCGTGTGAGCACGCACACTCAGCCGGAACTAGCACGCCAGCCCCCGGCTTCTCGGGAACATGAGCCCATATGCACACTTGACTGACCAGGCTGTGTTGCGCTTCTGTCCCTTGCTACCAAAGGACTCTGACGCGAGCTGTTGGGTGGGGGATCCCAGGGGCTTTCCCAGGCAGGATCACCTACAAGAATGGTCACCCATGAGCAGGAGGGTGGCATCTACCAGGTGCTGGAATGGGTCCCCCTCTCCCAGCTGGACCTTATGCCTAAGGTTTCCCACTAAAGATCTGGTCTTTCCCAGCAACCTCTGCGTTAAAAGAAAGCAGGGGGCTATAACCTTTGATGAAGGGGGGAAGACCATCAGGCAATGTTGCAAAGGGCAGGCCTGGCCCCTTCGGAGGGCTGGGGGAGGCTGGAAGGCTGAAGAAGGGTCAGAGGGACAAGGGGGAGCAGGGAGGAAGGGGAGTGCTCTCAACCTGAAGGCCAGCTTCCTCTGGTCCGTGCAGGCCCTTCCAGCTGGCATTCAAGGGCAGATCAAAGAACTTGAGCAACACATAACCCTTGAAGGGCTGGAGGTGGAGAGGGCTGAGTCACTGCGTGCCCTGCTGAGGGCCCTTTGCCACTGTGGGCCTCAGTTTCCCGATCAGTAGGAGACGGCCCCTACACACCCCTCCCCCGCTGTCCCCAGGCCAGCTCACCTGCTCTGGGAGCTGGGCAGCCCCCAGCAGCTGCAGGGTCTCCAGGTGGGAGTGGAAGAGGGGGCTGGGCTGCAGGTGGCCCCCCAGCTTGCACTCGACAATGTAGCCCACGGTGCAATCGTCAGGCAGCCGGATGAGAGCAGATGTTTCCACGAAGCGGGGGCCACTGAGAGACAGATTCGTGCTGTGGTCCCTGGCCCAGGCCCTCAACACCTAGAGCCCCCACCCCTGCCTCCCAGAAGACCCTCCTCCTCCAGGGCCCACTCTACCATGCGCCTGCAGCGCCCTGTGTGGCCTTGGGCAAGCTGCCAACCTGGGGAGCCTCAGTATTCTGTTCTGTGAAATGGGCATGATAAAGCCTTCACAGGGCCATTGTGTAGGTTAAACGGAAGAGTGATGAGAAGAAGCCCCTTCCAGATGTATCCCTTCCTTTCTTTACATTCATTCACTCATCCACTCTTTGCTGAGCTTAGGGATCTAGCTGGTGGCAGGGGCCATGCTAGAGCTGTGGAGACAGAGGTGAGAAAGAAACGCTTGCTGCCTCACCAGCAGCCTCTACTCGGAAGGGAGATGGGGGAACAGGTCGTTTTGGAGTAGGACTGGCACTGAGTCAGGGAAGCATGAGGCCTGGGAGACACAGGGAGGGTAAGGCGGGCTTCCTGGAGGAGGTGACCATCTTTTGTTTTGCTTTTGATTTAATCCCAACAATGGCAGTCTTTAAATGGAGTCTTACAGGATATTCCGGAGTCAGCTGGATGTTGAGGAGGGAAGGAGCAGACACCATGAACTCCCCTGGGGGCCAACTGCCCCCTGCATGGATGCCTGACTGAGGGGCCCAGTGGGTGCAGAAACCCAGCCTTCCCTCCACATCCCAGGCTGTGCCTGAGGGCTACACCTGCCCAGATGGGGTACCTTTTCCACTTCCCACAAATGTACCCTAAAGGTGGGCAGAAGCCCATCTGGGGGCACCAGGCACAGGAGAGACCCCCCCCCCAGTCACGTGTACGTTTTCTGCTGTCGACAAGCCCCAAGACAGCATTACCACCTTTAACCAGGACCCAAGCCCTGTCCCCCCTCCCCCCGGCCTGGGAGGACCCCTCTGACCCCTCCCATCCAGGTCAGAGCGGGCCAGGGTGGTCTAGTGGCAAAGTATGCAGACCCTGGAGTCAGAGCCAGCAGCTGAGCGACCTTGGACCTGGGTGACCTTGGACGAGTCACTTGCTCAGCCTCTCAGAGCTTCAGTCTCCTCAGCTGTGGAAAGAAGGCTGACACTCCTCCCTGCCAGAGGCTGTGATGACTCTTGGTGAAGCACAGGCCTGGCTCAGAGTCAGCCCTCGATACGAGGTAGTGACACTGATATTGCTATTAACAAGAGCCTCTCCAAGCCGACCTCGAGAGGCCAGGCCTTTGCACTTCCTCTCTAGATACCAGTACCTCACCCCATCCTGGGGGCTTCCACTACCCCGGGGCCCCCTTCACTCCGGGGGCCTCTAGGGCCATCCCATTTCAAATGCCACCTCCTCCAGGAAGTCTTCCTCCCATTTCCAAGCAGAAGGCCCCACGTCTTCCTTCCTCTGAGTGCCCCTACACTTGGCCTTCACGTCCCCTGTGACATTTACCAGTAAGAAGAGGCCTGCAAATGGGACTTAATATCTGCCAGGCTCAGACCAGGCGCCAACCCAAACATTTCCCCATTTAGCCCTCACAGCAGCCCTCCAGCTATTATATTATTAGGTTTTTTTGTTTTTTTGTTTTTTGTTTTTAACATTTTTATTTATTTCTAGGAGAGAGAGAGACAGCATGAGCAGGGGAGGGTCAGAGAGAGAGGGAGCCACAGACTGAAACAGGCTCCAGGCTCTGAGCTGGCAGTCAGCACAGAGCCCGACGCGGGGCTCGAACCCACGAACCGCGAGATCATGACCTAAGTGAAAGTCGGACGCTTAACTGACTAAGCCACCCAGGCGCCCCTATATTATTAGGTTTTACAGATGGGGGCACTGAGGCTCCCAGAGATGACAAGCTGCCTGCGTGTGGCAGAGTGCACTCAGCAGTGCACCCCTGAGGGCAGGATGGCAGGTGGCTGGCACACTGCTAACTGTGTGACCCTGCGACACAGCACAATGGCAGGCGGCTTCTCCGCAGCGCAGTCCTGCGCCCTTCCTGCTGCAAAGGCCCCCACGCCAGGCCCTACTCTCCTCACCTCCCGCCAGGAGGGGTTTTGCTTACCTGGCCCATGGGGCCATCTTCAAGGCCAGTTTGCGGTTGATGCAGAAGCCAGCACCCCCCGTGGCAAACCAGAACTGTACCAGCCTCTGGGGGGAGAAGGGGAGAGGGCCAAGGGGCAGGGTGAGCCTGGGGGTGGGGGTCACCGGCCGGGCCACCCCTCACCACCAACCAGCATGGCTCCCACCCTTTGTATTTTCACATTTCACTCAAGTCCTGCTACAGTTTGACATTATTCAGCCCATTTTATAGACAGGCAAACCAAGGCCCAAAGTCGCAGAGCTAATTAAGAGCGAGGGGGTCACCACTCAGACCCCAGTCTGGTTGGATTTCAGTTAGAGAGAGAATATGCGCCATATTTGTCTGCTCCCCCCTTTTCCCAGAGAAAGGCCTCCTCTACCTCACCCCATGGGGTTCAGAGGGAGCTGCCAGACACGGCACCAGCTTCTCTGGGCCACAGACATGGGTAGGTGCCCTGGGAATGGTGGATCACAAGGCCACACTCCTTGACCCAGTGATTGGCTCAGTGACAAGGCACATGACTTTGGCCAATCAGAGTTCTTCCCTGAGCTCCGTATGCTAAGTGTGAGGAAGAGATGCTTTCTTTTTTTTTTCTTAAATTTTTTTTATTTTATTATTTTTTTTTCTGAGAGAGACAGAGTGAGCAGGGGAGGGTCAGAGAGAGAGGGAGACACAGAATCTGAAGCAGGCTCCAGGCTCTGAGCTGGCTGTCAGCACAGAGCCTGACATGGGGCTCGAACCCATGAACCGCGAGTTCATGATCTGAGCTGAAGTCGGACGCTCAACCGACTGAGCCACCCAGGCGCCCCAACGGGGTCACCAGACTTGGGAGCTATAGTCCCCACACCACCGATAACAGGCCACGGGCACTGGCCTCACTGCTTACAGCTCCTGGGATGGAGAAAGCTTTTCTGCACAAGGAGAGAAGGAAGCCTCTGGCGGAGTAAAGAGAGAAGGACAGACGAGCCTGTGAGCCCCTGAGGCCAGCAAACTCCTTGAAATCTCAATCTCAGAAACCAATAATGCACTTTTGGGGTGTAAACCACCCTGTCCCCACCTCCTCTGCGAGGATCCGTGAAGCCAGAAGCCCTGAGCCTCTCTAAGGCTTTCAGCAAACACTGTACCCTCTCAGCTGTACCACCTCTCCACTAACAGGTTCCCTAAGGGTACCTTCTCCCAAGTACACAGTTGGCGCTTAATTAATGCATGTTGCATTGGGTTGGGTTATCCTCCTTGATGCAGTAGTGAGAACCCTGGGCAGGAAGTTGGGAAGAATGACTCCGGGACCTCGGCCTCCTCCACTGCACAGCTGTGTCACCTTGAGAAAGTTACTGCTCCTCCCTGGATCCCAGATTTGTCACTTGCGAGTGCATCTGCCCCAGTTGTGAAATCCAGTGGTTCTCCTGGCCCTGTGTCCTCCTCCTGAGGACCTCTATGAGCTACTTCTAGAAATGCCACCCTCTTAGAGCAGAATAAACAGATTCTTAAGGACCTGGCACACAATAGGTGTCCCATTAATGCTTGTTTAATGAGTTTTGGGTTCAGGGTGTTACCTCCCAGATAATTAAAGTAACAACATCAGTCACTGTATAAGTGCCTAACCCTGAGCACTGATATACGGGGTCCTGTCCTGCAGATGAGCTGACCAGGTGCAGAGAACCGAGGTCCCAGAGCTGGGACTGAGCCCACACCGGAGCTCTCGCCCCCTTCTGCTGCCCCCCCAACCCAGAGGGTACCCCAGAATCCAAACAGGCTGGGACACTCTGGGGCAGCGTCTTGGGATCCCACTGAGGAGTTTATGCAAGAAGAATATTACTGCACATTCCAGACTCGGGGCCTGGGTGTGCCCAGCAGTACTGAAACTGCACAGGAAGCATCAGGCTGAGAGATGAAGGCCCCGCTGGGTTGGGTACCGATCACTAACACTTACTAGTGTCATTATGTGTCAGGTCCCATCCCAAGCACTCGGAGAGATGACCTCGCTGAATTATATCTTACTTTGCTCACAACCGCCCTGCCAGGTGGGGACCGCAATCGCCCATTTCGCAGGTGAGGAAACTGAGGCCCAGAAAGGTGGGATGACTTCAACAAAGGTCACGACGCCAGGAGGCGGCAGAGGTGGCCTGTAAACCCAGGGAGTCGGGCTCCAGAGCAGAGTTCGCAAACCCTACATCCAAGCGGGCGATGGTGCAGGAGCGTGGAGCACCCCCTCTGCTCACCTGGAGCAGACTCACACACACACCCCCCAGGGCCTGGGAGGATTTAATTAGGGCTCAGAGGCCAATTAGCCGCTGATAATTAAGGTTTTGTGTTTCCCTGATGAAGCAGATGGTGAGCCAGGGAGGCAGAGAGCCCTGAAGCCCCGGGCTCCTGCTCCAGATGCCGCCTCGCCTCCGGGAGGGAGGGGGGGAACCCCCTGACTAGCCTTTTCCCTGGGGCCAAGGGAGCCCCCTAGGGGCCTGGTGGGGCCTGGGGACCGGGAAAGAGCCATGCTACACACTTCTACTAAAACATGCGTCCCTATTTATGTGAAAGTCAAATTTAACTTTCATCCAGGTTTTTGGGGTTGTTTTTTTCCCTAAATCTGACAGTCCTCATTAGTGCCCATCTAGGTCTGAAGCTGAAGCTGGGGACCCCGTTGGGCCAGATGTCACCCCTTTAGTCTGTAGCGAGGAGAGGTGCCCAGGGGAGGGGCTCAGAGGCCCACGGGCAGCGCAATGACCAGCTGGCCCAGCAGCTTCCGCACTTGAACAGCGGGTGCAGCTGCATGAGTACATGACAACACGGGGGGCAGGGTCAGGAAGCCTCAGCTCACCCCCCCCACCCTCCACACCCCTTCCGCTGTGTGACCAGAACGACCCGCTGTGTGACCTCCACAGTGACGGAGGCCGTACTATGTGCCGGAGTCCGTGCCTCACCTGCATGACCTCCGTCTTCCCATTTCACGGAGGCGAAGACAGGATCAGACACACAGCAAGTGTCGGCGGCCCCGCCCCCGTCTGGCCCCGCCCCCGTCTGGCCCCGCCCCCGGCCTGGCCACAGCCCACACCCGTGACCCTTGCTCGAAGAAGGAAGGGAGGGACCCACCGTGCGGTTGTGCGGCCTGGGCTCGGAAGCGCGGATAGGCCGGTTCAGGCTGGGCCGGCCTACGTAGACGTCGCGGGTCTGCGGGAAGGTTTTTAGCAGCTTCAGCAGTGGCCTTGGGTTCACATAGTTGTCGTCATCCACGTGGCAGAACCACCTGCGGGGACACAGGGGGGGGATGGTAAGCTTGGAGGAGGGTTCCCAAGGGTTGCCAGCCCACCAGACTCCCTTTTGCACCCCCCACAATAAGTCAACAAAATTAGGGAGAGTAGGGGGCGCCTGGGTGGCTCAGTCGGTTAAGCGCCCGACTGCGGCTCAGGTCATGATCTCGTGGTTTGTGGGTTCGAGCCCCACGTCGGGCTCTGTGCTGACAGCTCAGAGCCTGGAACCTGCTTCGGATTCTGTGTTTCCCCCTCTCTCTGCCCCTCCCCAGCTCATGCTCTGTCTCTATCTCTCAATAATAAATAAATGTTAAAATATGTTTTTTAAAAATTAGAGTAGCAGATGTTTAAGGCACACCGTCTGAGCGAGACAGCATCTTGTGTGATCTCCTGAGGAAAGTGTGTCCACTTACCAGGCGGGAACCAAGACTCAGAAACGTTAAGACACTTGCCTGAGGGCACACAGCCAGTAAATGGCAAGACTTGAACCCGAGCAGTGTGCCCAGAGATAGACCCCAGGAGGCCTACATGATTGAATTTCCACAACCCAGCCAAACTTTACTTTTTAGACGCAGAACCCTATTCAGGAACTAGCCCGAGACAAAAGGTCACACCTGTCCCCAGAGACCCAGGTGCGCTCACCGCAGCCCGCTGGCCAAGAAGGTGTCGAACTCAGCAGCCATCTTGCAGGACAGGGCGGGGTGGCTGTGCTCAGCCGAGCAGTTGGTGACCACGAGGTGTGACCCTGGAGAAGCAGGGACAAGTCAGAGGACCCTGCCCAGATCCTCCCCACAGCCCTGCACGCTGTAAGCGTACAGAGTAAGACTTCCGAGAGCCTGGAGCAGTCCACCTGCTCCCGTTTTACACACGGAGAAACTGAGGCCAGGGAGAGCTGACCCTCCCAGGACCCCAGAGCTGCTGGACAGGAGGCTGGGCTAGAACGCAGGTGTCCAGGCTATTGTCCGGCACGGCCCCTCCCCAAACGCATACCCGTTTCCAACGAAGAAATCTGCCCCCCTCCTGGGCAAAGGAGGGTCCCTACATGCTAAGAGTGGGCAGGCCTGTTTCCTGGGGACCCCGGGCCAGCAGACAGCCACCCCACCTGTCCCTGGTAACAGCTGAGGGGCCCCCCACCCCACCCAGAATTACCCAATCTCTCCTGGAGACCTTCATCTGGGCTGTCGGTGAAGATAAACGTCTAAGAAGGAGAAAGAGGAGTCATGCCCGGTATCGGTCAAGGGCAGGCCCGGGGCCAGCCCACAGCCAAGCACGTGCCGACACACCTGTCCAGACCCTGCCCCCCATCAGTGACAGACACACCCCTCCCACCGCCACACATGCCTTTAAGACAACATGACTTTCTCAGCAACCACCCCCCCCTTCACAACACACATGACCTAGCTTTCAAAGCTAGGTTGACCAGGCCACCGTGTCACTTCCACCAGCACCCATGGGGACCCTACGGGAGTCACCCCCTCTTCTGTATCACACACACACACTGCAGTCCCACTCACCCCCTCCATAACCACACTTACACAACCCTAGCTGCTTCGTCCGGAGACAGATTCTCTGTGGAAAGGCCCACACACCAGGACACCACACTGCCTGGGGGGACAGTCATGGCCTTCAGAGCCACGGGAGCCGTCTGGGTCCTCAGGCATCGTGACCCGATCTGGCTCTCTCCCAGACTGCACAGGCGCCCCACCAGCAGCTTTCACGCTCCTGGTCCCTGAAGACCTCGCTTAACCTCAAGACAGGTGTTGCGATCTGTCCCCCTCGCAGACGGCTAAATTGAGGCTAAGTAACAGACTGAGGTTGGACAGTTGGCAACTGCTGAGCTGGGATTCGAACCCGCCGGCCTTGGGCCTCTCCTCGCCACCTTCCAGGCGGGTAGAAGCCGCTCAACCCATGAATAACCTGGACACAAACTGAATGAGACGCAGAGACTAACCCTCCACGGGCAGTTGGTGGCAGACAGGGACCAGCGGCCGGGGACGGGCCCAACCCCCACTCCGTACCTGGCCGAGCGCGAGCGCCTCTCCCTGCGGGAGCAGGTCCCCTCGCCCTCCAGGCACCACCGAGGGCCTCCTCTGACCCTGGTGGCCCTGTCCAGGGCCCTGACAACTCTGAACTCTTTCCAAGTGAGGATCAAGGAAAAAGCATCTCACCCGCTTAAAAGAGTGACACCCCCACCTGCCATTCTGACCACGCTAGCCCAGCCCTCCCTCCAGCCTTAGGGCCTCTGACGGCAATGCCCCACTCTGCTCGGCCACAAACATCTCCCTGCTTTCCAGACACCCTTCAGATCAGACCAGAGCCTGCCTAGGAGCCTCAGTTTACCCGGCTGGAAAATGGGAAGTAGTTGTAGCTGTGAAGGCAATGTAAAATACCGTGAGAAAGAACGAGAAACAGTTGGCAATGAAGCCAAGCTCAGCTTCTTATCTCAGGGGGAACTGAGGCGCAGGAGGCCAGAAGCCAGGGTGGGGCACAGGAAGGGAGGAAGGGGCAGGAAGACCAAAACCAGATAATACACCCTACCCACCACCCCACCTAGCACCCTCTGTGGCTCCCTACTGCCCTTAGGATAAAGGCCAGCCTCTTAAGTGTGGCCATGAGGGGCCATGCAGTCCCTATGCCTGAGGCAGCTCTATCTCATTACTTCCTGCCCCTACTTCTCTTAAATTAAAAGGCCTTTCAGTTCCCCAAATGCGCCCCACACACGCACACCCCTCTGAGCCTTTGCGTGTGCTGTGCCCTCTTCTCGCCAGACGCTCCTCCCACGTGCCCCTCAGCCTCCTGTCCCTCCCTGTGGTAACAGCAGCCCCTCGGTTATGGAAACTACCCTTCGGTCTCTCCAACCAGTCGGTGACATCCTGAAGGGCACAGGCCTGGACTGATTTCCCCCCCTCCCCCCGTCTTGGCACCGGCTCTCCTCCGGGAGGCCTGGGTAGCACCCACCTTCTGAGCCCTTCTTCCTGGGATCTGTCTGCCACCTTTGCAGAGTTAGCGGACACCGGAGGTTCCTGGGTAGCTCCACAGAACGTGTGGTGGGTGACCCAACACCGGTCCCCTCCTCTATCCCATCCGCTGCCTCGGTGACGCGGTCTAACCATCACCACCAAGAAATCATCAAGCCCCACCTCAGCCAAGACCTCTCCCGGGGGCGGGGGGGGGGGAGGGGGGGCGGTGGCTAGCAGGCGCCTCAGACTCTCGTGCCGGAGTGCCCCCCCCACCTGTGCTCCTCTGGGCCCTCCCCATCCTGCTGGGACCCAGCACCTTGGGGTCACCGTGCACACCCAGTCTCGTCAGGCAGTTCTGCTCACCCAGCCTACCCAGCATGCGACCTCTCCTCACCAGCCTCCACGGCCACCCACTCCTGCCCGCTTTGTTGCGGTCACCTTTCCCCTGGTCCCCTACTCTGCCCTGCCCCCACCCGGAGTCTCTTTTCCACACAGCCCCCAGGGAGCCAGCAAAATAAATCAGGCCTTTCTCACCCTGCTCCTTGGCAAACTTTTGCCACCAAACAGCCACCAGATAGTGGAACTCTCTTGAGTTTGAAGCGTGGGCCAAATGGGCCAGGGCATGTTTGCCGATGGATGAATAAGCCGGAATCAGTGGGGGAAGGGGGAAGGAGAGGGTCCTGCAGCGGGGCTGGGGGCTGGGCGGGGCGCATGAGGCCGTGTTCCTGTCCCTGGAACCCGGAGATTGGCACGGAGCAGTGGGCAGAGTTTCCGCGGAGCCAAGGGTTGCATTTAATTTGTTTAAGGAGGAGACTCTGACAATGGTTAAGACCTCACAGGGAAACAAAAGGAAAGTCAGCCTGCTGGGAGGGGGGGGGGGCTGGGGGCCATCTGCTGCAGGGGAGGGGAGATGCTGGCCGGCAGTGCTCCGCCCACCCCTACCCGCCTGTGGGGGAGGGAAGGACTCCCCACGGATCACAAAAAAGGGCCCCCCCCAGCCCACCCCCTCTGCCTGCGACAAAGGCCGCACGCGAGCTGCCACAAAGGTCCACCTGCCACCCAGCCGCCCTTAACCAGCTGGGGCGGGCGCCCAGCCCGCAGAGTTAACCAGCTCAGGCCTGTTTCTGATAACAGAGGCGAGAGAGGCTCCTAGACCCTCCTGTCCTGTGCAGACGGGGAAAGTGAGGCCTGAAAGGGGGAGGGCCTTGGCCCAGATCACAGAGAGATGAGCCAAAGGGCTCAAAGGGGAGAGACAAAGCAGACCCAGGGGCAGTGGGATGGGAGTGTGTCTCCCTGTCTCCCTTCCTCTTCCTCCATTGAAGCATCCTGCCTTTTTTTTTTTTTCAACTCTGCCTTAAAGGACGAGGTTTCTAGACTCTGCCCCTGGTGCTGGGGGTGGAAGGTGAGGCTGCGCAACTGAGCGAATTTATCTCCTACTTCTGTTTAACTGTGCTTGGTTTCCTCGCCGATAAAACGGGACCATCAGTACCTGCCCATGGGCGGCGGGGGGGGGGGGGGCTGTTGGAGAGTTAACCAGAGTGAGGCATGTGAGCCCCTGGCCCCCCGGCCACTGGGCTACCTGCAGATTCTCCTTCTGGCTGCCTAGCTGGCATCTGGGATTGAGCTCCAGGCCCGAGTGGGTGGCTGCTTCCTCTCTTTGCAGATCTGCTTCTTGTCAGGCCCAGCCCCCCCCCCCCCACGGGGGCCGGAAGCCCAAGGACCCTCTCCTGTGGCCCAGTGATCCAGCAGCTCTGGGGATGCTGGGTCTCAGCAGGGAAGGGAAGGTCCCAGCGGGGAGGTGGGACCAGCGCCCTGCGCCTCCAGGCCTCCAGGGTGCCGCTGACTAGCGCTTCCTCTGTCTGGCCTCAGTTTCCTCATCCGGGGCAAGGGCACCACCATGGTGATCACGACAAGGCAGGAAGGGGCCTCAGACCACGTGAGGCATGCTCCCGGGTACACACAGACACAGCACGGTAAACAGGAAGGTCTGCGGGGAGGGCCAGGCTTGGCAGCTTCCGCAGGAGGAACCAGAATCTCCCCAAGATGAGAAGCCTGGGCGGGGGGAAGAACCTGGGTGCTGGGGTCCCAGTGGAAAAAGGTTTAAATAGGGTGCCAGGACATCACGGCCAGGAAATCAGGGGTGGGGGCGCCCTCTCCCCAGAAGGCCCTGGGCTCTGGCAGATATCACCTTGCCTGCTCCCAGGAGCCCCCAGCCCCCTCCAAAGGCCCAGTCACTTCCTCCCACTGAGCCAGCTGCCACTGTAGGGACAGTGTGTGTGTGTGTGTGTGTGTGTGTGTGTGTGTAAACGTGCCCCTCTGCCTCCCCCAGAGATACTTCCCCAACAACCCTAACTCACTGACTTTGCTGGGGGAGGGCACCGGGTCTGGGGAGGGCAAGAGCCAGAAGGGACTCGGCCTGTGCCCCAGAAAGACATAAGCCACACGCCCCCGCCACCCACACAGCTCTTGTCATAGCGCATCTAATGCTGACACTTTGGTTCCGTGCGTGTGCAGTGCGCATGCGCACACACACACGCGCGCGCGCGCGCGCACACACACACACACACACACACCATCCTACCTGCTGGGCTGGCCTCCACTCTGACCTCTCCCCCATGGCCCCCTCCCCCACGGCCCCCTCCCCCTGGGCACACTCCCCCTGGGCAACACAGGCACGGGAGAGGGGAGGGGGACGGCGTGCAGGAGCTGTCAGGAATTCTGGAAAGGATCCCCCGTGCCCCTCTCCCTCCCAAACAGGCCCCACCTAGACCTCCCCGTGTTCTCCGCAGCTCAGCCCCTCTTCTCCACTTTCCCAGCCAGGGTGGAAGGACAGCCCTGGGGGCCCGGACTAGGGGCAGCCTGGCCTGGGCACGTGTCAGAGTCAGGACTCTCCGAGGCCTCTACCCCAGCCTCCCACCACCGCTCCACCTCCATCGTCCCCATCGCCAGGCTGGCCCAAGGTGGGCAGGAGCAAAGCCTGGGCCAGAACAGCCAGGGAAGAGAGGGACCCCTCGGGAGGGACTGAGGAGTGGGCTTGAGGAGCACCTTGCTCCAGAGCCAGCGAGGGACACAGGCAGGGGCCGCAGGAGCCCCTGATCCTGGGAGGAAGGAGGAGCCTGGAGAGGAGTCCAGATAGAGCAGGTGGGCAGGCAGCTTCTCCCTGGAGGCTGCTGGGGACCCCCAGCCCAACAGAAGGGCTTCCGTGAGTCCCTCAGGTCAGGGGCCACGCTTGGGTCCCACAGCTGCCCCCTCGTCCGTCACCTGTTCCCTGGTCCTGGAGACCCACGTGTCCAGCAGCAGCTCAAGGCGGGAGTGGTGGAAGGCTCGGGTCGTCTTGATTGCGATGAAGACATCGTCCGGCTGCAGCTCAGGGGACAGAGGGCTTGGCGGCCTCCGCCTGGGGGCCTCCCGCACGGCCTGTGGGGACCCGCGCGAGTGGTACCGAACGGAGAGGAGCCCCATGCACAGAAGGGTGAGGAGGGCTCCCGCCAGGCCCCGAAGGAGGCGGCACTGCATTGGCCCTGGGACCCCAGACGGCTGGATCCCCCAAGCCCCAGCGGACAGCGAGGGGAGGCTGGTTAGGCGGGGACGCCCGCAGAGGCCAAAGTCTGGTAGGCATCGGAGGCAGGCGAGGAGGGCGGCGGAGGTGGGAGCTGATGCTCTGGCCGGGGACGCGGAGCCATGGCAGCCCCAGCGCCGCCGCTGCCGCCAGCCAGCCCTCCACCTGCTCCCGCCGCGCTCCCGCCCCGGCTCTGGGGCGCCTGGCCCCGCCCCTGCCTCCGGCGCGGCCCGAGGGGCGGGGCCGGCCCTGGGGAGCCCCCGAGGTGGCTGAAAACGACACAGGCACAGCGAAAGGGACAGCCCCGGGTCTGCCAGCTGCTGCAGCCAGCGTGGGGGCAACGACAAACCCTCCAGCGCCACCCCCCCGACTCCCCAGAGACTGTCGGCTTAGCTCATTCAACATCCGCGATTTTATATGGTGTCCGGCTCTCCAGCCGCCCAGATTGTCCCCACTCTGTACCTCTGCCCCCATACTCTCCCCCATCGTCACCGCGTTCTGTTCACCAGGCTTCATGCTGTTTGGACGTTTAAGGCTCAGCGCAAGGAAGGGTTCCCTGGGCCACAAAGCCGTCCCCAATGCCCCAGTCTCCGCGGCACCTGCAGTAGCTGGCTCAGTTCCTTTGCTCTCCACACCAGCAGGAGGATAGGTATTCCCAAGTGAGAGCTGAGCACAAAAGGCAAGGAGCGATCTAAGATGATCTAGCAGCTCAGCCACGTCGCAATCAGCAGCTTTTGTTGCTGCGCTTCTCCCAGCCAGGTGTGGCCAGAGGGCCATCTCCAGCCACCGTTTCCATCTCGTCAGACACAAGGTCACTCACATCTCTTCCTTCCTCAGCTAGAATCCCCGTGTCCCTCAGAACAAAAGGCCCACTGTGTGAGCTGGCCCCCGGGACCTCCAACCCCACCTCTTACCACTCTCCTCTTGCTCCCTTCACTCCAGGTCCCCTGGGCTTCTGGTCAGTCCATGGACACACCTACCTCAGGACCTTTGCACATGCTGTTCCTGCCTGGACCTTTCCCTAGATGTCTGCATGTCTCACTCCCTCACCTGCTTCAGGTCTTTACCCAAAGGTCATGCTCTTCACGAGGCATTCCCAGGTCACTTTTTAAAGACTGCAATGTCAGGGCACCCGAGTGGCTCAGTCAATTAAGCATCTCTTGATTTCAGCTCAGGTCATGATCTCACGGTTCATGAGTTCAAGCCCCATGGTGGGCTCTGTGCTGAGAGGGTTGAGCCTGCTTGGGATTCTCTCTCCCTCTCTCCCTCTCCCCTGCTTGCACACATATGTGTTTTCTCTCTCAAACTAAATAAACATTGTTTAAAAATTGCAATGTTTGAGGGGCGCCTGGGTGGTTTATGCGGTTAAGTGACCGACTTCAGCTCAGGTCATGATCTCACAGCTTGTGAGTTCAAGTCCCGCGTCGGGCTCTGTGCTGACAGCTGAGAGCCTGGAGCCTGCTTCAGATTCTGTGTCTCCCTCTCTCTCTCTCTCTGTCCCTCCCCCAAAATGAATGAATGAATAAACAAATGAATGTTAAAAAAAATTCATAACAAATAAATGAATAAAATGTTTTAAAAAATGAATGTTAAAAAAATTTTTTTAATTGCAATGTTTTCTCTCCCCTCCTTCATAGTCCCCCAGACCTGTCCTTTCCAGACCCCCTTTTTTTGCTATATTCTCTCCACAGCACTTTTCATCTCCCAACACCCTGTATATCCTACGTCCCTATTGTCTGTCTTTCTCATGAGTATACACGGAAGTTCGTTTTTCTTCACTGAATCCTCACTGGCTAGGATAGTGCCTGGCACATAGTAGAAGCTCAAGAAATACTTGTTAATTAAACACAAGAAAGTACCAGATGGTTGGTGAATCAGCCTGGGCCTACTGTGACCTGAGCCTGCACTGTATCTGTGGAGGGAGAGGAAAGGAAATCCAGCCCTTCTGAATCACCCTCCTGGGGGCCAGCCGCATGCCAGCCCCCTCCCCCCCACCCCCGCGGCTCATCTTCCCAGAACAGCTTCTCCAAGGGACAATCCCAGGCTTCATGCCACACAGACTAGGGTTCATCTCCTGACGGGCTGCTTCCTAGCCACGTGACTTCGGTCAAGTTGTTTCACCTCTCTGAACGTCAATTTCATCATTTATAAAATGGGGACAAAAATATGACCCAGTGAGGATTGAGGGGTCAGTGGACTTCTCCGCCCTGGTGAAAGGACACCTAACATGAGACCAGACAAGGGCAGCTGCCTCACTGAGGTCCCGCAAGGTCACCCGGACTCACGTCCATGGACGAAGCACAGGGCCAGACACACAGCCAGGGAGTGGGGCGGTTCATTTGCCCCAACGAGCGTTACCCGGTCTCCACACCTGGGGGAGCCCGCAGCCACCCATGAGGATCCACCTCCGGCCCCGAGGCAGAATGCGGCATGGCTGAGATGTCCCCGGGCCTGGGAGAATCAAGCAGGCTTCACGGAGGTGGTATCGGAGACAGACCTCCAAGGACACTAAGATTTAGCTGGCCCCTACCTCTGAACTTGGACTTCCCAGCCTTATTTCCTACCACTCCCCAGGGGGCCAAACTCAATGTGTTTTCTGCCTCTGAGACTCTGCTCCGGGGGTTCCTTCCACCTAGTAAGCATTCCCTCCAGACTCTCCAGGGGCCGACCCAAGTGCATCGCTGTGACAGAGGACAGTCCTAGGATGCCCAAGGATGGCACTTGGGCACACAGGTCCAGTAAAGACTTCTTGTAGAAAGGAACCCCAGACTCAAAGCTTAAGTGGCGGCCCCGTGTAGTCCTGCTTAGACCACCCTCTCCAGTCTCAGGGACCTGACTGTGCACGGAGGATTTGGTCTGTTCTTGGCCCCTTGCACTCAGCAGCCGAGCCCCTTAAGCCAAGACCAGCCCCTGCTGGCCTCCGTGTCCCCTCTCCAGGGGACACTCCTTTGATGATCAGACACAGACAGGGCTGGGCATGGAGGTGGCCCATCAGTGGGGCCCTTCTCCGGCCATTCGGGGGCAGGTAAGGTGATGCCGGCACAGATGGCGGGCGGCTCTGGGATGAGTCAGGAACGAAATCTGACCCTCCCCATGGGCAAGCAGGGGCCTGAGAGGTGGTATCGGCCTGATCTGGGGGTGGGGACAAGTTGGGGGGGAGTGGAGTGGGGGGCCCGGGACTAGGGAGGCAAGCAAGCAAAAGGCCACCAGCTTCCACGACAAACTGTTTAATGTCACGTAATGTGCAACTTCTGAGTGAAAAAGGCCCATGAAAAACCAACGGGCCATACATTCTGGTGACGGAGCAGCCGGCCTCCTCCCCACCTGCACCTCAGCAAGGCGCATCCCTGCAGGGAGCTGGCACTGGGGGAGAACACGGTCCTCCGCGTGCTCCCCAGGAATACACGAGCGTGAGTGCCCATGTGTCACGGGGCGGGGTGGGACGCTGACACGGGAGAGAACCACGGACGCACGTGTGACGGGAAGACACGAGGGGCACAGAGGGCCAGGGAAGCCACGTGCCACACGTGGAAGTACAGAAATGGCGGGGGGGGGGGTGCAGGACGGGCTTGAACATAATGGGCTGAGAGCCCAGGCGTCCCCATGTGCCTGCTGTGAGACCCTGGGCGTGTAAACCTGTGCACAGGAGTGAGAGCTTGGATGCTCCGGGGGAGCAAGGGGCTGAGGACGCAGACTCGCGCGTGGGGCCCACGAGCGGAATCACGGAGACATGGGGGCACACGGAAGGCCCAGAGCAGCAAGTACAGGAGCACGTGGGGGCTCCGTCTTGAGGGCTCCCACAAATCCGCTGCGGTGAGAGCCCGGAGCCACGGGGGCCCGCGTCTGAGAGTCCGAGGGTCTAGGAGGGCTCAGGATGGGGGGGACCCAGCTCCACTGCAGACACCAGGGTCCCGCCGGAGGCTTCTGAAGTGGGTCAGGCATCCAAGGGGGGGTCCTCAGGCCTCGCTGCTGCCGCCGCCACCACCACCGCTGCCGCGCTCCACCCACACGAGGCGGGCCTGCTCCTGCAGGATGCGCCCGCGCACCACCTTGGCCAGCTCCTCGGGGTGGCCCCACGCATGCGCAGGCACCCGCACCCAGGAGCAGGGCAGCTCCCAGAGCGCCGGCTCCGAGCCGCGGCACTGCCGCAGCAGCTCCGAGTCCCGGCAGCCTGGCCGGCCCAGCAGACCCCTGCCGGCAGAGGGGACAGGGGTGGTCAGAGGAGGGGACGGACACCGGACACTGTCTCAGACAGAGGCAGGGAGGAAGGCCCGTCCAAAGAGGAGGAAGCGCTGGCCCCGCCCCTCCTTACCTGACGTCCCGGACGTTCTTCTCGGTCACCTCCACGTGGATGACAATGGGGTAGATGTCGTTCTGGACCAGCTCCCGCACGCCCCGCGCTCCCAGCTCCAACAGGCAGTGCTTTTTCTCAGGGGATGGAGGCTACATGTCACTCCCAGCCCAGGGATGCCAGCTTCCCTGCCCCCCCCGACCAGCCCCGAGGCACAGCCCCCCACAGGGTCCTGGGTCCCCGGCGCCAGAACGGCCCCCGCGCCAGAACCGGGAGACATAAGTCACGTCCCCACTCTGCACCTCGGCCTCGCCGTGGACAGGATGGAGCTGACCCTACTGCCACCCCCACGTCTGGCCGCCCCCAGCCGGCCCCCGAGTCAGCAGCGAGGCTGAGACGGGGTGGACAGGTGAGGGGTACCCACCAAACACCTCAAGAGCGACCCACATCCGCCTGCCCCCGCACCCCCTTCCCAGGGGAGGAAACAGGCCTGTCCAAGGGAAGGGACTGGCCCCGCACCTACCTTCCCCACAGACTCCTGGATGGCACGGATCCTGCTACCCAGCCCAGGGGTGGCAGGCTGGGCCTTGGGGGCTCCCGGCGCTGAGGACGAGCACTGTTCCTCCCCACACAGGCTCTCTGCAGAGCAGCAAGAGGCAGGGATGAAGGGCCCACGGGGGCCACCTGGCCCTCCCCTCCCCTCTCCTCCGTGGGCCCCCAGGCTCACCTGCCGGGCACACTTGGAAGTCCAGCCGGGAGCTGGGTAGGTCTAGCAGGTTGCGGATGAGCCGGGGTGCCAGGCACTCAGGCAGGAGCACGACAGGGCGCAGGGCGGACACCAGCAGCGGCCGCACCAGGCTGTAGGGTTTGAGGCTCCGCTCTGGCT